TCTACTTTTTATTTTTTGACTTAAAAGTTATTTCAATTTGACTTTTTATATTCGACTTAAAAGCTATTTTTTTAAGCCAATCCAAATGGGCATAACTAAGTATGAATGGATTGTTTGTGCCACGTGGAAAGGTCATATCAAGAATAGTCATCTATTGTATTATTGGCTAGTGAATTGTTATAAAATTATGTAACGATAAATATTTATTTATAAAAGCAATATGTAGACATGTGATTTATCAACGCGAGAATATTCTGATATCTTATTTATGAACTATATTTTGCTCTGTTGATAAAATCATATAAGAATTGATTTTTTTAAGGATTAATTACAGAAATCCCACCTTTTAGTTTACTTATTACCATTATCCCCTATAAGTTTTACAAATCTCCAAAATTCCTCATTTTCACGCATTAGATTAGTGTATCTCGCGCATCAGATTAATGTATCAGTGCATCAGATTAGTGTATCTCGCACATCAGATTAGTGTATCATGTATAAAATGTAATGTATCTAACTTAACAATTAATGTATCTCGCGCATCAGATTAATGTATCAGTGCATCTAGATTAGTGTATCGTCGTCACATCAGTATTAGTGTATCATGTATAAATGTACATTAGTATTAGTTGTATTCATGTATAAAATGTAATGTATACTAACTTAACAATTAATGTATCTCGCGCATCAGATTAATGTATCAGCTCTTATATTACAGTATCCGTTTGAGGGATTTCTGTAATTATAAACTTTTAAGGGATAGATTGTAATTTTACCTTAAAAGTATGTGATTTCTGTAATTTGCCCTTTTTTTTAATGTAGTTTCTCACAACTTGTTAGGAACCCTATCCGAACGAAGGACTTCCTCTACCCTGAGTTCTATTTGGAATTGGGCCTCCAGAATATCTTCTCTAAGATGATGTTTATAAAGAAAATATAACTTAAGAAATTCAATTTGCATGTTCAAACAAACCTAATCATATTGTGATTTCATATTGCATGTCAAAATGGTTAAGGATAAAAATATAGATATAATATCGTTTTGTCTCAATTTATATGACATTCTTTCCTTTTAAGCATGTCCAAAGAGAATGTCACCTTTCTCTATTTGACAACTATTTAATTATACCACCCTCATTCCACCCCAGTTGAGTCTCACTTAACATTATTGTTAAGAGAATAATTAAAAAAAATTGTTTGAATTGATTTATTTTAAATGCTTTAAGTACTTTTATAAAGTTTGGTAAAATCTATATATAATATAAAGTTAGATAAAAGAAAAGTAATGTGGCATCTCTCTTTGGCCAAGGATCCTATTTATCTTTTTTCTCATTTTTTTGACATTTTTTGTTTGTTTTTTTTAATTATTATTGTAAAAAAATGAACAATTACTACTCCATTTATTCATATTCTTTAATATAAAAACTTAATTGTCTTTATTTCCATTACTCCCATGACTTTTGATTATCATAACTTCTAATTCATATTAATAGTCATGTTTATGATATCTTTTGGTATTCAATATTATGGTCCTATAAATAGAGGCAATAGAAAAATTTGTTACAAAAGAAATGATCAAATTTATATGTATAGTAGAGCTAAGGATTAACTTGGTGAAGTCATCTCATCTTTTTGGTCAAGAATCTGATTTTTTTTATAACTTTATAAAATATTATTTTATATCTTAGTTTTTTACTTATATGAGATTTGATTATTTTATTGCAGGTTTTTTTTGTTGAATGGAAAAATTTCATCTTTTTCATGACATCTGATGAATGGAACGAATTTTATTTATATGTAAGTCGTACTTTTATTACTTGAATTTTATTGTACGAACTTGACAAGAAATTCAAGTAATGCAAATTTTATATCAAATGCTTAATGTGAAATTGCTACAAAATCATTTTTTAATTTTCTTTAATGTAAAACTTAATGGTCTTTATTTTCACTACTCTCATGACTTTTTATTATTATAACCTCTAATATATAACAATTAAATTCATGATACTATTTGGTATTCTATGTTGTAGTCCTATAAATAGAGATATTGTAAAGTTTTCTTGAAATGAGCACATTTAACATTTTAAGTTGTCATGTTTTTAGTGCTCATTATGTTGATGCGCTGGTTGACTTGAAAGAATAAGATCAAGGCTATTGAATGGTGATTGTGGGTTGTGGAAGTGAACATTGACAAAAGCTCGGAAGATTGTACATTGATTTATATTTGTTTTAAATGTTTTAATGATTAAATCGTAAGAATGATATTGTATTATTTATTTATTTATTTTAGTTATTTCATCTCTTTATTTTGTATTTTATATAAAAAAAATTATTGTTGTAAATTTATATAAAAAAAATTGGTTCAAAATAGTAAGTTATGACTTTGTTGGACATAATTATCTCTTTCTCTTCTTTTTTTTGCCTTTAACTTCCTCAAAAATGTCTAAATATAATTTTTCCCCATGAATTTTCAATTACAAATGCTTCACTACAAGTTTTAAATAACACCAAAAGCCACACAATCATGTCTTGAGTTTTTCATCTTTACTAGATAATCTTTGGCTCAGAATTCTATTTATTTATTACTTTTATAATATTGTAGAATAATAAATATATCAATTAATTGTTCTTTCATATTTTTAATGCAAAACTTATGATCGTTATTTTCATTACTCTCATAATTTTTATTACCATGAACTCTAAATAATTAATAGTCATGTTCAGGATATTATTTGTTATTCATATTATAGAAGCATAGTAAGATTTTGGAGAGATGATCACATTAGTCTTTTAAATTGTTATGTTTTCGGTACTTATTTTATTTATATTTTAGTTTGACTTGAAGAATAAAATGAATGCTATTGAATGGTGATCGGCTTGTGGGAATGGATATCGACAAGAACTCCAAAAATTGTGTATTGATTTCGTATTATTTCTTTTTATTTTTCAATGATTAAGATTATAAGATTAATGTTGTATTTTTTTGTAGTTCTCTTTATGACGTCTCTTTGTTTTGTATTTATAAAAGAAAAAATTTAGTAAGTTTATATTTTCTTTTGGTTCAAAAGAGTAGCGTATGACTTTGTTGAAGGTCATCTAACTACTAACCAAATATTTTTCTCTATGAAATCAATTATCTCAATAAATATATATTGATATCTTATCGTCTTTCATAACCGTGCGAAGCGCGAACAAGTTTACTAGTAATATAATAATTTCAAACACTCATTCTAAGTCAAAATAGCAAAAACAAATCGAAATCCATAAGTTAGACATCATAATTTATAACTTTTTTTTAAGTTATAAATTACAAATCAATCCAAACAGATGTCACATAAAGTGAGTCGGAGGGACTTGAAATGTTTTAATGGTTACTCAAAAAGAAAAAAAAAGTAATCTGCTCTCGTACTGATAAATTGTTAATTATAAATTTTATTTTATTTATCAATAATGAATTCAATAACTCAATATATATAATTTAATAAAATATTTTTATAATTTAACTCTCGCCTCAGCTTTTTCTTTGAAATCGAAGACTGTTCCAATTTCCTACTGAGATAGGCAAGCGGAGGAAGAACTAGACGTATCTTGCTAGGCAAAGACAGGTTAGAATGGATAGCTCACGGGTGGAATTGACGGGATAGATATTACGATTCAAATTTAAACTATTCAAATTATGACTCTCCCTTGCTTGTAATTGCCCAAAAAATATAATAATAAAAGAAGTGTTATGAGTAGACACAAATTTTTGTTGATGGAAAGTTAAAATAATGTTTGTCAATAGTATAAGGACCAAAGTTGATATTTGCTAGTAATAGTTTAAGGGGAAAAGGGCCAAAATTACACCTCAACTTTGTTTTATTGGTTGACTTTACCCCTATCGTTAAAAACATGTTATTTTTATCCCTGCCGTTAATAAACTTAACAAATATACCCCTTCTTGGATGGAAAACCCCAAATCAATTAAAATTACCCTATTTTATTTAAATTACCTAATTTTAATCCCACCCAACCCACTTAATAATATAACCCATTTCTTTTACTCAAATCTACTTTATTTTCCCACCACCAAAGCCACCACCGTCGAAACCACCACCTCTCCCACTACTCTAACTCCTGTGTCACCTTCATGCCTATTGACTATGAATCATAACACCTCATAGGCCACCTTTATATTTACTGTAAAATCTGTATGATTAAAAGGTTTAGTTGGCACCAACCATTTGGATTTTATTTAAAACAACCTAGCCAGTTGGAACTCACAAAACTACAACATTCATCCTTTCACTCTTTGCACATCTTCATTGTAGCAGTCTAGCCATTGCCAGAACAAGACTGCACCCTTCATTCGACCCGTTTCAAGCTGGGAATGAAGTAAGGTGAAAATCATTGTGCATCCCAAAAAAAAAGGAGAACAGTGGTCATTAGGGGAATAAAAACATGCATATGATAAAAAGACTTCTCTTATCAATAGAGACTAAATTTGTGCCAAAGATGGAAAATATAGAGTAGTAAAATTTACTTGCTTTTGCTGGGAAACCCAATAAAATTACAATTTTAATTATGTTAACTTTTGTTGGGAAACCCAGAAGGGATTTGGTCTTAGAAAGCAAGAAATTGACTCTTGATAGGGTTGTTGACTTGGAGGAGGTAGAGTAGTGGGAGAGGTGGTGGTTTCGGCGGTGGTGGTGAAGGAGATCTCAAAGAGGGTGGTGGCTTTGGTGGTGGTGATGGGGAAAACAAAGTTGATTTGCGTAAAAAAAATGAGTTATATTATTAAGTGGATCGGATCGAGTTAAAATTATGTAATTTAAATAAAATCTAATAATTTTAATTGATTTGGGGTTTTCCATCCAAGGAGGGGAGGGATATATTTATTAAGTTTATTGACGATAGAGATAAAAATAACTTATTTTTAATGGTAGAGATAAAATCAACCAATAAAACAAAATTGAGGGTAACTTTGACCCTTTTCCCTAATTTAAGGCCCGCTATTTTCAACGTATATCCATGACTACCCCCGAAAAACCCTAATCTTCAAAACCCCTTCAAAGCTACACACTTCCTCCGGCGGCCGGCGGGGACTCTCTGTGCCACCCCTCTAGCCGGCGCCTCTCCGCTTCTCAAACTAAAACCCCCAAACTCCATTTTCGTTTTGCTTCAAAATTTCACCCAAAATGTCGATGTCAAAGAGTTCCAAAATGCTTCAATACATCAATTACCGTATGCGTGTTACAATACAAGATGGTCGTCAATTGATCGGAAAATTCATGGCTTTCGACCGACATATGAACCTCGTGCTTGGAGACTGTGAAGAGTTCCGTAAACTTCCTCCCACAAAAGGGTCGAAAGAAGAACGTGAAGATCGCCGTACACTTGGTCTTGTTCTTATCCGTGGCGAGGAGGTTATTTCCATGACTGTTGAGGGACCACCTCCTCCTGATGAATCACGAGTCAAGGGTACTACTGCCGGTTCTGCAGTTTCCGGCCCTGGAATTGGTCGGCCCGCTGGTCGTGGTATTCCTACTGGGCCGTTGGTTCATGCTCAACCGGGACTTGCTGGACCTGTTCGTGGGGTTGGTGGGCCTGCTCCGGGTATGATGCAGCCTCAACTTTCTCGGCCTCCGATGCCTCAAGTTTCTGCTCCACCGATTAATTACCCACAGCAGCCGCCGCCAATGATGAGACCGCCGGGTGGTGGGCCACCAATGCCACCGCAAGGTATGCAGATGCAAAGACCTGGGGGCCCTCCGCCTATGGCACCACCACCACATTTCCGGCCTGGTGGTGGTCCACCACAGTTTCCACCGCAGTTTGGTCAGCGGCCCATGGTTCCTCCACCTCCCATGATGAGGGGTCCGCCTCCACCTAGACCAGGAATGCCTGGTCAACCGCCTCACCCGGGTATGCCACCCCCACCTCCCGGTGGTCAGGTTCCTGTTTATGGACCTCCTCGTCCTGGTATGCCTCCACCGCCGAACCAGCAGCAATAGTAGAAATGGTTCGTACTGCTTCAGTTTATAATAATTTTTTTCTAGGTTTTGATATGTTAATTTGAGTTACTGTTATATTATCGTGTTAATATTTGAAAATTCAGGGGATATAGAGGTAAATCTAACTTCTAAGTTAAAAAGCTTAATGGATTAGAATGCTTGGGAATTGCAGAGCTTTGTATATAATATGATATTATAATAATGGAACAATGGCAACCCCTAGGAGGTAATGCCATGTATAATTGTATTGGAAGGAGTATAATCTATAATCCCTATTTTAGCTCAAATTCTAGTAATTCATGGAGAAGAATTTATGTCTCGAGCATTTTTTGTTTTTGTATACAACTTCAAAGGGAATACAATCCTCTTTAGGCTAATTTTAGATCAAGCATGAGGAAAAATTATTGGTTTGGAGCCTCATTTAGTTACTACTATTATAATTATAGCGTTCAGTTAGCTCAAGCATCAGAAGTTATTTGATTAGAGGCTCCTTAAGTTTTTGTTGCAAATATTATACTTGTAATGTCCTTCTCATCTAATAGATTGGTCTAGAAAATTAGAATCTACATGATTGGTTTAACTAGCTCTCATGTACATGATTCTTTTGAAGGTTTTAGATTGAGCTTCTTTGGTATCAAATTGAGAACAGATGACGTTTATGAATTCTTACATAAAGTTATTTAAGGACATTTTCTTTTTGGATGTTATTTTTGGACATATGCTTGGCCACTATCTAATGCTAATAATTAACATCTTTTGGTAAGATGTTTTCTTATCAAATCCTTGCTGTAGTCGGGTTTATATAGTTTCTCTTTGTTTTTCAGTAGTTGTGTGGTCTGCATAAGATTTGTTCTATGCCATCTGACAGACCTCTTCTATTGGGTTTTCGTTTTATGTTACACAGCAAGCTTATCAGACACGAAATCTAGGTCTGATGTGCATATTGTAGGCCTATTTATTTTGATGGATTTTGTTATGTTTGGTTTAGCATGTCCTCTTTGAAAAATAAATTGAACTGTACACCATTTAAAAACATTTTCACCTACTCTATATTCAGGGATGAATGAGGGAGGATCTTCCATCTTTATGGTCATAGAACCCGTACTTGAACGTGTACTATCCTTGTTAGGTTCATCTTTTTTGGATGTGGTGAGGTTCTTGTCTGGAGTTACTTGTTTATCGAACAAACGTTCTTCAGTCACTGCCATAATTGACCTTTAGTATCAAATAATCTAGGTTGACGTTTGTTTGTGTAAGCCTTTCTGCAAAAAGTAAAGTTATTTTTTTTTGGTAAAAAGAGTGTTAAATTTTTCGAAGTTGAAGAAGTGTCCAGGAATTATTTTCACCCTTAACCTCTTATTCCACTCACAAAACTCTCGGGAACAATAGAAAAGCTACTACTACCACCAAACACATCAACCTCCATAGACTATTCTTCCAATGAAATTCTTCAAAGAACTTTTTACCAAATACTTCAGTCTAGAGATTGCACATCTTCCCGTGACTATTATAAAATACAAAAAAATAAATTGTATACTCCCAATGGAAAGGATAGCCACCAAATATTTGATGGATCTACTATCCTCCCATGATAAGGAATGTGAATCCTTTTCTTGCATCGCTGGGAAAATAACAGTTGTATAAGAATCCCCAACCAACTCCCAAGTCATTTAATGAAGAATTATTACCGATGCATTTCTCTTCTATTTTTTTTGGTGCAACATATCACAATTGATATAGTAGAAGCCATAATAGACTTTTTGAGCTCTTTGCACTTGCAATACCAAGGACCTTCATAACTTCTTTTGCCGCATCTCCTTGCTGCTGGGTTGTCAATAAATTACCTTTAACATTAACAATCAAAAAAAGATTTTTTCTTTCCTTCCTTCCCATCCCTTGGCTGTGTCCCTAGTCCAGCTTGAATGATAACTCATTTGTATTGTTTTTTCTGTGAACAGTGTAAAGTTCCTGTAAAGGTAAACTAAGTCATATCTCCCCCTGCGTGCCTGGATGGTGGTGTTGCAAAGAATCACTGGGCTTACGGCTATTTCAGCTACGTGGACAGGTGATCAATCTTCATGCTGTATGCACCCAACATTCTTCGGTTTTTGCTACAGTTGTAAAATTCGCGAGATAGGAGATTTCAAATCGATGTACTTTATAATATCTTTCTTTCCTTTTCTATATTAAAACTGTGATTATTTGATATTAACTGAAAGAGCACTTACAGTTGTGGTGAAGGGTGCTGGTATATGCAGCTCATGTCCTCTATTGATCTTTCTCTAGATGGCACATAATTCTTGAACTTCATGTTACATTTAGTTACGTTTGGATTATTTTATGCATCTAATAATATTAGATTACTGAAGAAATAGTGATAATTTTAAGATTATTGTTACTGAACTGATTAAAAAAGTTAATAAGTTTAATTATTTACATAAAGATCCTCCTCCTTCGCGGCGATCACCATCTCCTCCACCGTCACTACCATCCCCTACTCTTTGGCCATGGCCCCTATCTCCTCTATTGTCACTATCCGCCATCCTTTTATTGCAACAATTATATGAATGCCATTGTAACAATCAGTGTTTTAAAAGACTCTATTGGGACTTGTCTCAAGGCGAGCCCTGGGGCGGGACTCTAGCAAAACGCCTCAAGGCTCAAGTGTGGGGCTTAGTTCTATAAGACTTACGCCCTAAGCGCCCGATGGTACGTCCTAAGCACGCCCAATGCTCGGGGATCGCCTAACAAATCTTAGACAAATTATGCGTTAAAATCTTTAGTTAACATTGTTGACCCTCATAATTCTTGAATAAATGAATGATACTTCATAATTTACTATTTGATAATATTGTGAAGGTGATTATACATTACGTAACATTTCTTTTGAAAATACGTAACGAAGTTTTACTTTTTCACTTATCATTGGTCTTCATGGTTTTGTCATAAATCTCAAAATTATCATATTTTATTTATCTATTTGAAAGTAATTTTATTTTTATTCATGATGGAGTGATGTTTTTATTATAATACTAGTAAGTTTTATTGATTATTTATTTTTAGGGGGGTGAATTGTATAGTATGGTAAAAAATATATTTTTAGAAATAATGATTCTTTTATTATTAAAAAGTTAAGATATTAGATTATTTATACTTGTATAATCATGTTAGAAGTTTTATTTTCTATGAGTTTCATTAACCATGTTTGTAATTATTTCAAACTTTGATGTATTTTTATAATTTTATATTATTATACTATATTGTAAATTAGAAAATTTAAGATCCATAGGGCTTATGCCCCACGTCTTGAGGCTTACGCCTCACCCTATACTAAGTAAAATGTCCCGCCTCACGCCCCTGCCTTTTAAAACACTCGTAATAACTTTAGTAGTTGGTTGAGTTACTATAGCACCATGCTAAAATTGAAGTGCTCCAATAACTCAAATAATTGTTGAAGTTGTTGTAACAATTTCAACGTATTGATGTTCGTAATAATTGTTCGATTTGTTGTAATTGTTTTTCTTCTAAGAAATTTCTTCGAATGACTTAAAAAAAATGATCAATTTTTTTTTTTAAATTCATATAATCAAAGCAAAACATTTTAGAAAAATAAGGAAAAAAAAGAATTGCGATAAAAATGATGAAAGACCACAACAAAGAAGAAGATGAAGAGGGAAAAAAAAAGGAAAGAGGGAGAATTGAAACAAAAAAAAATGAGGGAGAAATTATTTTGAAATGTTAAATTTAAAAGTTGGAGGAAGTATTTTTAAAATTTTTCAAAATTTTGATATGTACTTCAATTTTTTTTTTGGGGTTGTTTGATTTGAAAATAAGTTACGATAATTTTTTTTTGTTTGCCACTCGGTGTCCGATATCCACATTGGAGCCCGACTAAATTCGAATTCACGCCGGAAAATCCTGGATAAAGCGCTCCCTAATAAAGGCGACTCCGTACCCAAGGGGCTCAAACCCGAGACCTCTTGGTTAAGAATGAAGGAGTAGTTACCACTCCACCACAACTTTTTTGATAAGTTATGATAAAATTGGTTATGCAGAGATGATTTTTGTTGAAATTATTTATGATGAAATTAATTGTCATGATATTACTTTAATGAATGTTTGACTTATTATATTAAAAATAATATGAATTACATAACCTCTAAAAAATTGTTAGTTTACCTACCTATCCTTTTATAATTGTAAAATGTGTGAAAAAATAATGTATAAAAGGAATTTGAGGGGGTATTATTTTTTAATTATTTTACTCTGTCTGTTCAACAATAGTTGTTTATTTTTACTTGACACAGAAATTAAGAAACTGTAAATAATAGAGGTAATTTACCAAATCACCTTTACTAAATACAACTCATTTAAAAATTGAAAAATAAATAATATTTAATAATAATGATAAAATAAATACAAAATAGTAAATTATGCATTAATTTTATAAATTGGTCAAATATTGTTAGATATTCCCAAATAATATAATTGACAAATAAAAATGGAAAGAGAGAAAGAGTAATTATTTTATCCCAAAACAAGTTATTAGGAACTATTATTCCACAACAAAGAAAAAAAAAATTATTAATCTTAAATAAGTTATTTAAGACATATTAAAAATAGATTAGCACAAGATTCTCTCTTTTCTGTGCACACACCAAACGTCCTTTGTTCACTAGTATGTCACACATTTATTTCATTTGTAAGACTTTGAAGTATCTTTCGACTCATTTTGCTCTGCAATCATGGATACTGAAACAGGTTAATCTTTACTTCTATCGGTGAAGTTGCGGAATCGGAATGAAATTGCGGACTAGTTGGTTTTTGAATTTGATTGTTTTTTCCTCTTTGTGATGTTCGTTCATAAGTTCTTCAAGAAATTATACTGTTTTTTTGGATTTTTTTTGTAGTGATTGAGTTCTTGGGTGAGGTGCCATTGTTACAGAGGCTACCCAGTTCTTCCCTCAGAAAAATTGCCCAACTTGTCAAGGTTAAACGTTATGGTAAAATTCATTCTTATTTTTCCTGAGTTCCCATAAATTTAGCTGCTAGTTTCTCTGTATTCTGTTCTATGTAAGTGTTATGAGTTTCAGAAGTTACTTAGAACTTAATAATTTGTTTGTTGGATTAATACGACTATCTATCGGAAACAACTGCTCTACCTTAGATTTTTAATGTAGTGGACATTACCCTCTCGAGATCCCACTTGTGGAGTTATAGTGGGTATGTTGTTGTTGTTGGATTAACATAACTGTGGAGATTCATCATTTGATTAATCAGTTTATAGTCAATGAATATATAGGGATTATATCAGATTTCCAGCTATAGCTCTTTTCATCTAGGTTGTTAATATTTGATACCATTGCAGATCGTGGAGATTATGTTATCCGTGAAGGAGAAGCTGGGGATGGAATTTACTTCATATGGGATGGAGAGGTAATTCTGAGTATTGTTTTTGCTTTGTTGTACTGAGTTTACGTGAACAAAAATCATAAGATTGAATTTTTATATTGTTATGGTAAACTTATTTCCAGGCAGAAGTCTGCGGTTTCAGCCAAGCTGATGATGAAAATCGTCTTGAATTCCAGCTGAAAAAATTTGATTATTTTGGTCATGGTGAGGTGCTCCTTGTCATCTTCGTATAATTTTTTGCCTTTCGATTTTCTCTTGATCCCAACTTCCTAAATTAAGGAATCTTTTGAATTGACTATCTTGTCCTGTTATGGCCGCCTCTACTCAGTTTTATCAACTTTTGCTGTATAAATATTTTATATGTTGTTTCAGAGTCTAGATTCAGTTATTGCCTCTCTGTAGGCTCTTTTTGGCATCTATTACATTAGTAGCACAGTCATGTGCTACTGCTTTTAGGCTTTCAGTCTCAAGTGTTGGGTGATTACAAGGTTCAATATGTTATGGCAGGTTTGACAACATCTACACAGCCTGCTGAGGTGATCGCATTGTCTAAGGTACTGCCTCTTTCCAACCATGGAATAGTACTCATTTCCGTAGTTATTTCATGATTCCTGGGGATTCTGCATCCAATTTTGTAGTTATGTTCTAACTTTCTCTAATGGCAGCTGACCTGCTTAGTGCTGCCTCATGAGCATAATAATCTGCTCCAGCCCAAATCAATTTGGAATGCAGACAAAGAAAGAGATACATGCGCCCTTGTGGAGCACATATTGCACTTGGAGCCTAGAGAGGTATGCTATTTATGCCTTCTGTAACTTATTCGTTAACCTCCCATTCCATTGACTTCATATGTTGGCTGTAAAGTTTCTGTTCTTTCCTTCTTTATGTTAATTATACTCAGTCATCTATGCCAGTTTATGCACTTGGGAGGTTAATCTCCACTATAATAATACTCAGTCATCTATGATAGCTGATGGTGTTAACTAGTGAGTAGTTTGGTTTGTAAGACGAATGGGTTTCACTTCATGTTATTGAGTAGAGACTTAATTGACTTTCATCGGGAATGTACTGCTAATAAGTGGTGCTGACATTCTTAATTACTTAGGCTAAGAAATGATCCTTTCTCTAATTACTAGGAAAAAACTACTAGTGAGTTTCTGTTTGTATTTCTTTTTTGCCGAAAAATAATTTTATTCAATAAGCTGCTGCACTGAGGAGGTAATGAGCGTATACAGAAAAACTCACTGGACTTGACTCTTCTATGCGACCAAGGAATCAATGAAGTCCAATGCAAGAAATATGTTTGCTTTCCCCTCAAAGCATCAGTCATTTCTGCTAAATCTATGCAAAAGAGGAACTTCTTGGTGCATAGCTGGTGATAATGTTTCATTCTTTACCATTGCACAATGAACTCCAAGTCACTTGTCTTTCTTTTGTGAGATCACGATTCCATTTATTTTATATGCTTTCTATAGGAAGCTCTGTTAGTTCTTTTAAAGGTTCGATTTGCTTAAGAAATAAGCTACTTGTTCTTATGAATCCTTGAATTTGTTCAAGATAATTTGGTAGAGCAGGATAATTGTTCTCCTATCACCTTGCACTTGCAGATTGTTTTCCTTTGGAACATTTCTTTTCTGAAGCATTGATGTTTCATTATATTCCCAGTTCAATGTTCCCTTATAAAAGAGGAATTTTTGGGAGTTCTAACATAAATATTCTGTTGAAGGTGAACATTTTCCAAGGTATAACATTGCCAGATGCCCCTGTAAATAACAATGTGTTTGGAGGTCAGTTTCTTGGACAGGTAAAATTGAAATGTCCTATTTCTCCACCACTCACTTTTATTGGAGTTTAACTTCAGATGACTTGGGACCTTTTGTGAATAATTGCTTC